ACTCCCCAAAGCCTCTCCTCTGGGTATTGCACTAAATATAGTAACTCTCATTTTGCACCCACAGCCAGGAGAAGAATCCTTTTCAAAACTCCTTTCCACCAACTCCAATGAGGCAGAGAACTTGAACTCCTTTTGCTTGCTCCTAAAGAAGGCAGAGAATCTCGACTTCCTTTTGCTTCCTCTTGAAGCAGGCAGAGAACCTCGACCTCCTCTTGCTTCTTCCTGAAACAAGCAGAGAATCTCGATCGAACACTGAAGTAGACCTTTCTAGAACCTCCAAGGAACCTGGGATGATGACTGGAGAAGATGACTCAGATCCTTTCTTAGAGAAACCTTTATGAAATCCTCATAAACTTCCCCACACTAGATCATCTCTCTCTCACAAGCTCTCCCTCTCCTTTTCTTAGCTCTCTCAGGTCAGAACATCAGCAAAAGATCCCATCTTGAGTAAATAAGAGATCTTATATAGAAGGGATTCAAATTTGCCCTAAATTGTAATTAATTGACAAAGATCATCTAGGATGATCGATGGATCATCCTGCATGATCAATACAAATTCAACTCAATCAGCCAGGATGATCTAGGGGAGGCTCGATGATTAGAAGATTTGTTTATTCTGATCATCCAGGATTAGGTATATTATCCTGTACGATTATTTCAAAATGTCAAATATTATCCAGATCATCACTCTGTTCAGCTAGACTTTACATGTTAGATAATGAAAAAATAACTAATTGTCTAGGCCGATTATTGGATCATCCTGTATGATTAGTTCAAATTAATAAATATCATCCAACATATCATTTTGTTAGTCATAGACGATTTAAGAAGAAACTAAAATTTGTTTAACTGATCATCCCAAATGATCATGCGATCGTCTAGACGATATGATCGATTAATCAAATCTTAATTACTTTCCTTTATCATCAAATTAATTTAGGCATAATTATAATGCATCATCAAGGATGGTGTCCTATACGGTGTCTAAAAATAATAACATGCCTAAAAGGGTTGATAGTGGATTCTTTCTAATTTGAACATATCGTCTAGGACGATGTCAATATCGTACAAGATGATTTGCTTAATTCAGCTGTGTTAAAAAGGATGCCCTAATTGGGATTTCTATTTTTAACTAATTATCCTGGATGATTTTGGATCATCCCAGACTATATGATCAAAAACAAAAAACTCTAAAACAGACATACTTTTTGCCCCTGAGTGCGTGTGTGCAAGTTTACTTAGCATCAGGATCCACTTTGTTATATTTGACTCAGGAAAAGGAAAAATACTTGAAGTACACTTACATATTGACTTAGTCCTAATCTACCTTATATTGAGCTGGCTTGATTTGCAATTAACCATGAGGATTTGAAACATTTGTAGGAAGGGTAATAATAGAAACATAGAAATGATAGAAATGTTTAACATCATTAAAATTATAATCACTGAATCTAGATTTACAACAATCTCCCCCTTTTTTATGATGACAAACATTTGGTAGGAATTTGAAGTTAAGAAGTTAATTGAAACATAACGTAATAGAAAATTCTATGAGCAAAGCAATACAAATTTCACTAAAATCAAGCAGGTGTTACAATCACTAAATAATAGTAATACATAGAAAAAAATAATACAACAAATATACTAACACTAGCACTACTCCACTTTTTGACATCACAAAAAGGAGGAGAAAAATAGAAAATAAAAACATAACATAAAAGAGAAATTAATCAACATCACAAAAAAAAAACACAAGAAAACAATTTACAAGTATAAAGGGTCCTGATCATCAGAAGGAGGTAGTGGTGGTGGCTGAAAGAAACTAAAAAAGGTAGTGAATTACTCCCAAAACTAGGCCATAACCTGGTCTTGATGCTGCTGCTGGTGTGCCACGTACGCATCAAATCTAGTGACATCCTCCACATGCTACTGCTCCTATGCACCAACATAAGAGTCGAACCTAGCCTCCCACTGGTCGAACTGCTCCACCAGCTGATCCAACTCTGAGTGCTAGAAGATTGGAGTATGTGCAAGAATAGGTGTAGGAGCAGCTTCCTCCTCAGCTCCCTCAGGCTCCTCATGCTCTGGGTGGAGAAGAGTACTATGAATAAAGTGGAAGGACTTGTTGGTGTAGAAGGTAGGCTAAAAATTAGGTGGGGTAGGATATTAAAGATTATATTTAGTTTTTAGGACATAGGCTATGATGTGTCCTAAGGCAAGATTAGGATTTATTCTATTCCTTGGATCACTAATACTAGTCAGATACTTAATGTATCGAAAAAGAAGATCAGCAGCATTGAACTCTCTATGGACCATGATGTAGAAGGTGGTAATTGAAAGGAAAGGAGTGATGTGGACTTGATCACTAACCTTAAGGATTAGTGAGGTGCAAAGTACATGTTAGATTGTCCTAGTATCTTTGATTAAGGTGTTAGACACCCCATCATGATAAGAGACATAAGTGTTCCTCAGAAGGTGATTTGCAGGAGGCAAGTCATAATTAAGATCTTGAGACAAGAGGTGAATTTTATCTCCAGTAGTGGACAGTTGGAGGAGTTCATGGTAGTCCTGATTGGTAATTTCTATAGGTCATTTATTTACATAGGACTAAAGGGTATTGTAAGTGGAGTTGATCCTAAGGCTCGCAAAAAAATCAAAAAGGAGTTCAAAATTGAAAGAGAAGGCGAGTTTAAGAATGAAGGTGAGGGAGGTGTGAACAAAAAGATTTAGGATAGGGTAAGTGAGCATATGAGGGTTGATGGTCCTGGATAGTGTGATCTTGATAGTCATGTAACAAAGATAGGTGGCTTGGTTAGCTTCCTCAGTGAAATGAGGGTCGATAGTGGCCTCCGAAGAACTGCTAGTCACTATTCTAGATTATTTTTCACCCGCCATTGACAAGACTAATAAAGGATGAGTGAGAACAAAGAGGAATAGAAAGATTTGGGGTGAGAAAACTATTTGAGGTTGACTATTTATAATGAATCAGCCATATCATCCAGGACAATTGCAAAATCATCTAGGACGATCGGGAAAAATTATGGTGTTCGAGATGATTGGTCAAAAAAGGAAGTTATATTATCCAGGATGATTAGACAAAGGTGATCATCCTGAGGAGTCATGCTGGACGATCGTTAAAAAAGTAGATCATCCAGGATGATTAGGCGGATCATCCAGGACGATCGACATTAATGGATCATACCAGCCGAATTTAATACATGTAATGTCTTTGGCCACGTGGATCATCCAGGACGAACATGTGAATCTCCTAGAATAACCATAAATAGTTGAAGTAAAATTCGATTAGATCATTTAGGACGATGGGGATCATCCATGATGATCTCAAATGATTGAGTCAAATCAGTCGTTAGATGAAAGATGAAGGATGGATTGATGATATCGTATAGGATGATAAGAATATCGTCCAGGACGATGTGAAAAAATTGAAATTTTATGATGGCGGGAGGTGATCAGAAGGTTCTCTAAAGCATAAAAAACTAGTAAAAACAAAATATAAAATAACAAAAAGATGATAAAAATGATAAAAAGAATAAAAAACAAAGTTTTTTTTTTTATAAAAGCACAAATATGATAAATTGTCCTTTTGATTGAATTAAAAATTTATAAGAGAATGAGTTAACATCGTCAAAATCTAAAAAAATGGTAGAACATCCGATCCTGTTAACCCTAGCTCGGACTTCTTATAGGGTAAACCATCTTTTGAAAAAAAAGATCTAACTCAGAAAAATCAATTAGATAAGAAAAAGTGATACGCTCAAAACTTGGTTCCAGAAAAAATATCTTATAGAATAATATAGCAAAGTAATTTGTCAAAAACATGAATTTTGAAATCAAGTATTTGAAAATATCAAGTGACACATGAATTCTTCTAAGATTTAATGGTTTGAAAGAGAATGAAGCTTGTTTTCTTGTGGGCTCATTTTGCGCCTCTTATCAATTAGTTGGCGCACTTTACACATCTTTTGATTTTTAATACACTTTGTGAATCTTTCAATTTTTTTGGTGATCATTGCGCATCTTTTCAGTTTTTCTTCTTTTTGGGCTCATTTTATGACTCTTGTCAATTTTGCAAGCTAGCTCTCTTTCTTTTTTGAAAGATGCATATAGCATTGAATTAAAAAAAAAGCTATTACAAACTAAACAAACCTAGGCAATCCTTTGAAAAAGAAAGGAAGCCTTTATTTGAATTATTTTAAGCATTGAGAAGTAATTCAGAAAGCAGGAAAAATCATAATGAAAATAAGATCCTCTACTAATCATTTTAAACCAATTGGAGTGGAGGAGATACCAAAGATCAAACAACCCAAAAGGTTGATTAGTATCCCAGAATTCTCAATTAGGTAAAAAAAAAAAAAAGATAGATGACGAGTTCTCATTAATCTAAATCCCCTTTCCAAATTCCAACTTGTGTTTAAAATAAAACAAGATAAAGCAAGAAAACTAAACATAAAACAAAAAAAAAAATAAATAAAATCCATAATCCTCCACTGAGAAGGAAGCTTCAATCTTTAGTTCTTCATCCTTTATACTATTCACAATCTTCAACATCTTTATCCAATCCAAAAGCCAACCAAGGATTCCTTCAGACATTTCAAAGATCATATTTATGAGACAAATGATGAAGTGTGTCTAACACTATCACCAATACTCAACTTCTTACTTCTTAAACTCCCTTTGATTGGACCGAACTTATTCAAATCTCTATTAAAATATTTCTTCAGACTCCCTGATTTGGATGGAATAAAGAATTTCCCATCTTCTATCATAGCTTCATTCCTATTTACTTTGTTTATCACATTCAAAGGAGATACATAATTAAGCAAGCCAGCCTTCATTTTGATTTCTTTCTTTTGTTCTTTGCATTTTAAACCTTCAGCCAGAGAGAGTTCCTCCGTAGTAGGATTATTGAATACAACATTTTCTGTCCCGAGAGCCTCTGAATTGTTTACTACAACTTATTCTAAATTACTAGAACAAACTTGTACTTCTTTTTCCATTCCATCATACTCATCATTTGGATTTATTTCCCCATCTTCAAGTTGTTCAGAACTTACCCAGCCACAATCTTTCTTCTTTTCTTCTATCACTGAGCAATGAAAATCTTGATCTCTCCTACTTTCCATGGCTAGTATTTCATTTTCTTCACCATCCATTCTAATCAGTTCTTCAGCAAAAACCTAGGAAAGCAATTGAAATTTGTTCCCATTTATCACGTCAACTGGATCCAAGCTTTCTACAGGAATCATCTCAGCTAAAACCTGATAATTTTTCTTGACAATTGATAAATCTTCCTCCAAAATCCCTTCTTCCACCTGCTAGTTGATCCCAGCAGTTTCTTTTTCCTTGGTCAGCAAATTTCCTTCAGCTTGATATGTATTAGATTTGCTTTGATCCTTCATATCAGCTTTCTTTTGTAATTGTCTCCCCTTGATTACTTCTTTGTTAAACCTTTTGTTCCATTTGTAATTAACATGAATCCAAGGTCCATAATTATATATCTTCTCCTTCTCTTGTGCCTTAAGAATATTGCCTTGGGCTTGAATAAAAGTAGATCCACTTTACTCTTTTCAGCCATATTAGCTTTTTTTACATTTGCTTTTTTCATGACCAATCATGCCACAATCATAGCATAACGGTGAGATTATCTCATATTCAACCTTTTGAAAGAATCTCCCACCCAATCCTTCCACCCAAACACCCAAGGGAAGAGGTTTGTCTAGCTCCATACGAACACAAACTATAGCAAATTCCCTTCTTCCCCATTGAAACATGTTCCCATCCAACATCAAAGGAACACCTACCATTGAAGCAATCATTGCAACATTTTTCTCATCACAACAATGTAGAGGCAATTGTGTCATTCTAACTCATATAAGAGAGGTTAATCCTTTCGTAGAGCTCGGTGAAAACTCCATTGACCACCTTTTCATTCCCACAATGTGGCCATTTACAAACCAAGGCCCACCTGACAGAAATCCTTCCATTCATACCAATGTTTTGAATGAGCAAAAATACCAACCCATTTCTAAGGTTGTAAAATGAAATTGTCCATAATGAGCCCATTGTCATCTCAACTCCCAAGCCACTAAATGTGAAGAAATTTCCATCCCAAAAATCTTTGCAACCAGTGAGTTCTCTAATCTTTTAGCATTCAAAACTTCAGCGGATTCATCTAACTTGACAGCTTTTCCATCTTCAGATAGCACAATATCCTCTCTTTTGAAATTCAACTTAATATAATGTTTATTACTCCACAGATTACTCATCTTGCTATTATCTTCTATGTTTACAAATGATTTCTCTATCACCGCGACAGTTATGCATTCCCTGCTCCCCACATCATTTTTTGAAGGATCCACCCTCTCCTTAATATTATTATGAAAATTTTTGTCAATTGAATTCGAAGAATTCCCATTTATCTCGCTGTCATAAACAGGGATTGCATTTAAATTCCCAAATTTATTCACAAAGATTTTCATACAAAATGATGAAGCCTCATGATCAAAGGATTTATTTGGAAAAAATCCATTCGGTTTCAAAATACGTGGAGTCTTACATATAGCATTTATAGAAAGATTCTTACCTTTTCCTTCAACGTACTTCATCTTCTCATATTGAAAATCAACATTTTCAGATATGACTAGTTCTCCTTTCAATCTACGTTTGTGAGCCTCCTCTGCTTCAAGATCCATTCGAGTCACCTGCGCCCAAGCACAGGCTTATTCTTCATATCCCCTCCTCCTACTGCTGTTGCATTCCCAATCAAAGGCGGTGATGGCCAGCGGCCATCCACCACCATGTCCCACCTCCCTCCCGAATCCGAGGAAGAGCCAAGATTGAAGAAATTTGGAAAATTTTGAATTCAGAAATTTTCCTCTCTAGAGACAAACTAGGAGCTTCTCTCTCCTCCCGTCACTTCGAGTGTGTTTTTTCTCCTTAATTTTCCTCTCTAACTAGATCTCTTTAAAAACTTTTAAATACTCTCAGTTGTGAGAATATCTTC